TAGAAAAAAGATATATAAGGAAAAAAAAAAAAAAAAAAAAAAAAGAGAGAGAGAGAGAGAGAGAGAGAGAGAGAGAGAGAGAGAGAGAGAGAGAGGGAAAGAGAGAGAAGTTGAATGAAGGGAGGGTAAAAGGAGTAAGCAAAGCAATGAAAAGCAAAGTTCTTTAGACTTTTACTCATTTTTTCTTTATTCTCCCGTCTCTATTTGCAAGATTTGCACTCATTACTCACATATAAATAATGATTTTGAGTAAAAAAAAGGACTACAACTCATTAAGGTCTATGGAAGAATTCACAGGCTATTTTTCAATTCTCCTTTTTTTCCTTTCTTTCAAGCACAAAACGAAGGAATTATTTTGCTCTACGAACTGTCTTATATGAGTCGATGAGATATAATGAGTCGGCTCTAGTAGTGCTCATGGTGGTGGGCAAGCAATTTGCCTCTTTTTTTTTCTTTTCTCTTTTTTTTTTGTTGTCTTTGCCTCTTTTCATTCTCTCCTTCAATTCGTGCTTTATCCATTACTGGAATAGTTTCATTCGAATATTCTTTTCGTTTATTCATATCGTTGCTGTTTGAGCTTTCATTTGAAGCAATTCGCCTTTGAGATGATGATGAACAAAAAAGAGCAACAGAAGCAAAAAAAACTTTTTGAAAAAGCATTTCACCTGACGACAGCTGTCTCTACTTCCGCTTGACAATCATTTTCCGTTCAAAGTCATGAAAACTTACTTTTTCTATATGTTTAATGATCTATTTATTACTATATTGTTGTTCATTAATTATTCATTTTACATTCAAATAAGGCTATTATAGCCTTATTTGGGAAGGGGGGGGGGTTGGAGATAAGTGATCAAATATCATTATATATTATCAAATATCATATCTACTATGAATTGAATGAAAATTACAAAATATATAATGGATACATGATTTTGAGCTCAAAAATGGTTCAATTTTCATATTCTATTTTTGGTCATTTACTCTCTCTTTACCCTCCTTTCATGATCATCTCTTTCTCTCTTATTCTCTTCATCTATCTGGTACTCTCATTTAGCAACACTGAATATAATGCGTTGAAATATAAATTATGGGTTACTTAAGGAATATCTTGGATCTCCTTCTCATTTATCATTTTCTATTGTGACATTGAATTTTCATTCAACATTTTCTGTCTGTTGTGTGTTTGACTCATATTCTCTCATAATACTTATACGTTGTGTTTAGCATGTGTAAAAATAAAAACATGGACAACAACGATTGCCATGAAAAGATAGAGAGAGAGGGAGAGTGATAGTAAGTAAGAAGAAGAAGAAGAAGAAAAAAAAATTTTATCTCTTTCTGTTTAACTATTTGACTCATATGCCCCACTGGAATAAAAAAGTTTGACTTTAACTTAAAATATGAAGAGAAACAAGTTTATATCTTTATTCGCCCTCTGGGGGAACGCCAAGAATGTCAATTCAGATAGATATATTCACATGTGAACAAAGCTTCAATATCTATAACCAATTGATGTGACCATATTCGTGAGAGGAGAAAGATGAAGAAAGAAAAAGAAGAAGAAGAAGTTCATTATACTTTGAAATGCAACATCGATTGCTATGCGACCGTTGTGCTTTCATAACCATCTCATGTTCTATAACCCATGAGATGTATTATTCATTTCAATCACTTATTGTTATTTCGTATTTCATTACTTTTCCGTTCGTTTATCAACTTATATTTATCTTTTTTCAGCTTATATCTTATATCTATTGGAAATTGCTTGGAATAACATTTAGGAAAGTTATCCTAGCTTCATATTCATTCATTTTATATATATATTTATATATATATTTAAATATATTAAACAGACAAGATTCATTCTCAAATTATACGTCCATCTAACAGTACCGAGCCGAGTCTTTCGACTCTGAGCGGAGTGCTATTGGTCACTCTGTTCAGCAAACTAATACTTCTCGCATTTATCGGAAATCTTCTCGTATGTGCTGCAATAATATGGGACAGAAATTTGAGACGTCAACCAGAAAATTTATTTCTTGTGTCTTTGGCCATTTCCGATCTACTTGTCTCAGTTCTGGTCTGTCTTATATGGCTATATATCATTTAAGATGTATATATCCTTTAAGGTAATGGTTTTTGCTGCCGGTAGTGATGTTCTTGGCTATTGGCCATTTGGACAAGCATACTGTCAATTTTGGGTATCATTTGATATAACATGCAGTACGGCATCTATTTTTAACTTATGCGCTATTTCTTCTGATCGCTATTGGCATATAAGTCGCTCAATGAGTTATGCAAGGTATGCACACATAAAAAATAATATTATAAAAATATAAAATATATTTAAGACACTGTAGTCGTAAGCGTATAATATGTATTATTGTGATCGTTTGGCTGTTATCAGCTATTATTGGATCAGCTCCACTTTTGATAGGATTCGGATCGAAAGTAACTATAAGCGAGTAATATTAATTTTTATATGTTTTTTTCTAAATATCATTTAAATGCTCAGAACGTCTGGTCTACCAGTATGCGAAATGAAATTGCCACTCATATATGCTGTTGGTAGCTCTGTTTTATCATTTTTTCTGCCAGCAGCAATAATGGTTTATTTATACGGAAAACTTTATATGTATGCACGTCATCATGTAAAAAATATAAAAACGCAGTTGCAACAAGCAACATCATTTCTCATTATGCAGTTGACATCTGAAAAAATCAGAGAAGTAAGCATATATACACTTGAAAGCATTAAAGCAATGATCATGAATGATATAGGTGACGGCTGCAACTTTAATGACGGATGTTTCAACCAATGCAAATGCCACAAATAACAATAAGAATGAAGAATTGCCGATTGTTGAAACTCGCTTCACTAGGGTATGTGGATTGAAAAAAAAACCTTTTTAACGTAAATAACGCTTCATTCATATTTAGGTCTTAAGAACTGTTGCATCTCATGTGCCATGTACTTGCATTCGTAATCGCTTCATAAATAGTCCTGATACGGAGAGTACAATACTTCCAAATCCAGCCAATAATGTCAATGATCAGAAAGCTCGGTGAGAAACAAAAAAGAAGCTTATAGAATAGATGATTGTTTAGTCTCACTCTTGGAATCATTATGGGAACCTTTCTTCTTTGCTGGCTTCCATTTTTTCTAGTGAACATTGGTCGCTCTTGGAATCCGTCTGCTTTCAGTTCAAAAGTTGTTCTTGTGAGTTTCTTCATCTACATTTCAAAGTCGAAAACGGAAAATTCTTCCTTTTTCTCAGGCTGTCACTTGGCTTGGCTACGCTAATTCGGCAGCTAATCCTCTCATATATAGTATATTCAACAGAGATTTTCGCCGAGCATTTAAGCGTATTCTCACTAATAGTTTCTCTTGCATAAGAAATACGGATTTAAACTCTTCTTTGTAAGTCGAAACGTCTGAAATACTTGTTATGAAAGGTTATTTGCAGAAACGATAGTTATCTTCCTGGACGAAAGCGAAATGCTACTCGTGATTGCGTTTCTGACAACGAAAACAATAACCAGGCTCAAGCAACGCATTTATTGGCCATAACAAGTGCATAGATAACTATTTGAGATACAATATCATATAATTAGAAGAAAATGACACATTCTTAATAAGAATATTAAATAATAACATTTAAACTATTATTATTTGCCAATGTTTGAATTAGAACGCCAAAATTATTTCTTTCAAGCTGGTAAATATACTCTCAAATAATGCTGGAGGCATTTTATGTCTTCTTCCAAGCTTTAGAATATAACTTATTGAAGAAGCAATCGTATATGATGATATACATCAATCCTTCTCAACATCATATTATTGTATTATAATATAATTAAATATATACCACAAGTATAGAAAGACGGCTTTTTTCAACTACGAGACCGACAATGTCAAATTACGGAATTTGTATTTTGTTTTTTTCATTTTGTATTATAATTAAGCTAGTTTATTATAAAATAAAGCATGTTTTTAACAATTAAAATTATTATTAATTGAAGATGGAATGACTAGACATACATATATATATAAAGCAATGTTGTAGATGGAATTATCTACAAATCTTTCTGTTGAGATTCTTGTACAGGTGGAGCAGGTGGTGCATCACTACCGGAAAGATAAAAAGAACCTTGAGCCTATAATCATTGTTATATAGTATAATGATACAGTTCGTTCATAACATACTTCCCACTGATCCAGATCAATACTTAAATCAATAAGTGGTGGGTCATTATCTAAGAAATCGGCAAAATGCCAAGGAAATAGAGATATAGGTTGATCTCTTCCTTCAAACGCCTGATCAATGGCTTTGTCCCAATTAATTTGGTCTTAAACAGTAAACAACATATGTTTATATATTTTGATATAATACGTACTTATTAGATTTTCTGACATTCCCACTCTTCTGCATACCGTACTTATTAATCCGCCAACAGATAGACGCCGTCCACCAAGCCAGACAGATATCTCAAAATAGTTTTTTTTAAATATTTTTTATCTTTTTTTTCTTAAGAAAAATAATTTCTCACCCCTTTGACATTTGTAACTTGTCGTCCAGCATAGTGCACAAGACGGAACACGTCAGCCAATTGCTCAACCAGAACAGTTGTTAACCACAAACCAATTGTGATGTATATAAGGGTAGGAAGTAAAAAATCCATCCGTCTGTATATTTTGAAATATAATGAAAGAATAATTGTAATAACCTTGGAACTATATCTCCAAGACCGATAGTAGTGAGGCTCCTATAAGATAGATTAGGAAAAAGTATAATTGACAGATAAACTTACATATATGAAAAGTAAACACTATCAAAGTAAGATAATTGATTTTCCCACATTGGCAATATAGCTGAACCGCATGCGATGAAAGAGATGAATACAACAGCAACAAGGAACACCTATTCATTAAATATATTTTTTAATATAAAATGTAATTATTAGGTTGTACTTCTCCTATTTCTCTCCAAAATCGTTGTTCACCTTGACGTTTAAGTTCTTTTTTATAAATTAATTGAATTATTGTCATTATTCCTTGAATATTCTTTCATAATTAGATAATCTATCAAGATGAATTACCTGTTTTAGAGAATCGTCCAAGATCGGCAATAGTAATAAGGAATAAGGGAATACCAAATGCACCATACATCATAGTAAAGATCTGGCATTCATGTGATGTTGGAGCCAGATTACCATAACCTTATATTCAAAATTACTATAGTTCTCATAATGAAAATATTACCTATCGTTGTGAGAATAGTAAATGCAAATAAGACACTACTTTCAAAAGTCCATCTACGAGGTACGCTCTGTAAGACAGGTTAGTTGAATGTATGAAATGATATTATATGATATGAACCAGTTTAGAATCGGATAAAATTAAATAATTTTCAAGACTAATCTGATGAAGTGACATATTCTTGAGATACCAACGTAATTCGTCATCAACATTTAATAGCTGCAAGTAATTAGAAGTCAGAGGTCAGTTACAAACATTTCTTGCCGCATTTGAATCGGAAAGTCGACTAATCAATTGACTCTTCATTTCTAATACAAATGCTCTGTAATGGACTAATGTGAGAAAAAGAGACGGGCGGAATGTAATGAAACCTTTGTTTCTTATGTAAATCTTCTTCACGTTCTCCTTCCATATACTGGAACATATAACCTCCAAAGATGAGATACAAAATAACAAATAAATAAAGAGCAATATGAGCAAAAGCAATTCGAAGAACATTATTCAGCTTTTGTGCTTTGATGCAGCCTGTCAATAAGTAAATGAATAATAATCGATAATATGCTTCTAATGATCATTCTCAGCTTCTATCAACTCATTAATCTATCTTAAAATAGAAATTGAAGAAAATAAAAGAAACTTACCCATATGATTTGGTCGATATGAGATAAAAGCAATACTGAAAGAGATTTATTAAAGAGCCGTCTATGTTTATACGAAATCAATGCGCAACCGAAGTTTGATAGAGTCTAGAGTCTCTTATGATGAATTGCAATTCAAAACTATTAGAACGGAATTAATTTGAAGATATTTGTTGGATCAGAGAGAGTTTTTATATTTTATTTTTTTTTATTTTCATTCTATTCTTTCTGCAATAAACAAACTTTATGCAAAGAAATCAGTTCATTAGACTGAAAAAAACAATATTTTCAAGTATTTCTTTGCACACTCACTCTTTTGCTCTTTCTGAAACAAAAAGAAAATATATAAGGACTGCGAAAAATATTTTTTTTAGTTGATTCTATGATTC